TTCTTTCGTGTCTATTTGACTAGAGTGAAGTCGCTAAACCCGTGCAATAGATATTAGACTAATACACATAAGTAGACCCTAATTCCATTGTCTTCTTTCATGTCTATTTGAATAGAGTGAAGTCACTAAACCCGTGCAATAGATATTAGACTAATACACTTTAGTAGACTCTAATTCCATTGTTTTCTTTTGTGTCTATTTGACTATTACACGTTGACTAATAATTTTTATTTCACGGGTTAAATGCCTTCACTCTAAGCACAGTGTATTTACTATTTTCACCCCTAAAGCAGCCATGAAACGAGTACGCGCGGAATGTTATCATGACTTTCTGGGTGTGATTCCTAGGTGAGAAGCATGAATGCCCCCGGGTCGGCAGTTAAGCGAGAAAATCTAAGGTTTCGGCCTCATTTGCTCAGGTTCGCTGTACCAGTCAGTGCTAGACGGATTTTTYCCCTGGTTTTCCCGTACAAACGTCGCCGAAGCTTCCCTATATTGTCGTCCAGTACAAACAGTCGTCGAGGTAATTATTTGATTGTTTCACGTCATGTTTACGGGCTTCGCTCGATTCTTGGTATCGTTCTAAAATTTACTTGGCCGTGCATGTGTGTTTGGTCGTAGTTCAGTCCAGCCTCATTTTTGGTTTCGGAGTCCATGTTCACTTTGCCATGGACTCTAGTTTTTCGTTCTGTTTGATATTTTCATGTCCGCGGCCCCGACACGTGTGTTTGCATGGTTTAGTTTYCCTAGTAGTTCAGTCAAGCTTTGTGTTTACTGTTTAGCCTGTTTAGCCTTAATTTTTATATTTTCACGTAGTCACTGCTCTACTCGTTTGTCATGGCTGTACCGTAGTTATTACGGTTATTAGTTGTTATGTATTTATTAAACCTGCACGTTAGTAGATTCGGCTTCGTTCGATTTTAAGGGTTATGTAAAACTTATGGTCTGGTCGTGTTTCGACCGTGTTTCGGTAGTTCGGTCGTGTGGCGACCTTATATATTAAGCTCGGCTAAATTTTTTGTTCGGTCGTGTGTCGACCGTAATGCCAATTGAACCGTGATCGGGTCTGTGTCGACCCAGTTTCGCATTCTGGTCGTGTGTCGACCGCTAACCTATTTAGGAGGGCCATTGCCTTGCTGGACCAGAAGGGCAATCAAAATCAACCCCCTATAACCTGTCTTCGGACGGTTCCTGGTCCGGCTCGGCTAGTGGGTGCATTTCCCTCGTTCACTTTCTACAAGTATCAATTGTTTACATTTGAGTTGTGCATTCTGACCCTCTACGGCCACCCATGCGAAATGGCATGCGACTGGGAGGGAAAGCCCACTAGCTGGGCCGGACGCGTCCCTTCATTAGAACTGGTTTTATGGGAACCGGAGAGTTTTTGAGTTTTGGGGAAATGTATCAATTCATGAGAAATATTGGTTATGAATGTATCACTTTATTACAGTTGTTGGCTATATGGTATTAAGTTTAGTTAGTGTAGAGCACAGGCGGGAGGCAAAACTCGTGTTCCCAAAACTTAACCGTGTGTATAGCATGAGGCGAATGGCTGCTTTAGCGGTGAAAATGATATACTATTTTAACCCCTAAAGCAGCCATGAAACGAATACGCGCGGAATGTTATCATGTCTGTCTGGGTGTGATTCCTAGGTGAGAAGCATTATGAATGCCCCCGGGCCGGCAGTTGCCTATTTAAGCGAGAAAATCCAAGGTTTCGACCTCATTTGCTCAGGTTCGCTGTACCAGTCAGTGCTAGACGGATTTTTGGCCCCACCCACCTCCCCTTCGGCGACGTTTCTCCATTATAACAGTTCAGTCCGGTACGGTAGCTTAATCGCAGCCTCCGCAAAACTCTTGTTCCAATAGCTTAACCGCGTGTATGAGGTGAATGACTGCTTTGGCGGTGAAAATGATATACTAGAGAGTTTTAGATTTACGTTCACGGCAAACGTGAAACGTCAGTTGACCAGTAAAAAATTCTTTTAAATGACTGAAAAAGAATCGCAAAAAAGTCCAAGTAGTAGAAAAAGAAAAGAGTATTTGCGCTTGGTGAGAAGGTTTGTAAATAGTAAAGTAAAATACAGGAAAACTATGAAAACGTGGTCCACGTTTGCCGTTTGCGGGGAGAAA